CTCATGGTCACCTATTAAGAATACCATATTTTCTCTACTGATTGGCCCTGGGAGTAGAATTTATTTTTTATTCATTCTTGGGACCTGCTGAGCATCTCTGGCTGGGCTACCATTTGGTCTCGTCCCTTGGGGCCTTGACAGGACAGATGCAGAGAGGTTATAGGAGAGACAAGGACCAGAGAGAATAATCTGAGAGTAATCAGTCACCTCTTATGATGAGGTGTTTCTTCTCTCAGAACGAATGTGTGGAATTCTTTACTGTAGAAGGCTGTCGAGGCTGGGTCATTAAATATAGTCTAGGCTGAGGTAGACAGATTTTTAATCAGTAATAGGATCAGGGCTATGGAGGAAAGTAAAATTGACAGTTATTAGATCAGCAATGATCTCATTCAATAGCAGATCCAAATAGCCTACTTCTTTCCTATGTTTTATGGCCTTATTTGCCCTCGAGGAAGTGAGCTGCTTTCTTGAACCATTGCAGTCCTTGTGGTGTGAATACAGGCATGATGTTTTTAGTGAATTATTTAGATACAATTGGTTGGCTTATTGTCATTTCAGAGCTTGTTTATAAGGATTAAGCAATGGCCAGACCTGGTAAGAGTGTGAAATTACCTCCCCTTTGAGACATTGAATGGGGTATTTTCATGATCATTAATAATGAGACCAGTAGCATTTTATTTCACATTTATTAATGAATTAAACATATCTGCAGTGGTGGGATTTGAACTCATTCTTCCAGTTAGTAAAATACACTAGATGGTTAATTGAACACCAAAGTGATTTTATACCTCCATGATGGCATCCATTTAATGGCTGATGTTAGTTGACACCTGTTGGGATTGAGGAGTTTAGTTCAGTTTGACTGCTGTAACTCATATCAGGGCAATTTGGCTGCTGGGGGCAGGGGTCAACATCAAATGAGTGGATGGATTCCTCTTGCAAACATACACCATTATTCCAAATGCTCCTTTTAGTTGGCTCAGTCAAATATCCTGGTTTGTTTTAACCCACCACATCATTAGCATGATCCAAGTTCATTGAATTTAATAGGGATCTGTATCTCTTTTAAAGAAATGGATATGTAGAGGCTCTGGCCATAGGATTGCTGTGTTGTGGTGAGGTTTACAGCAGAGATTTTGAAAATGGTTTGGAGTGTTGCCAAGGTTTTTGGAAGCAGCAGATAATTTGAGATCTTTAACTTAAACTGAGAGTTAGCAGATAAACTGAAGTTAAACCAGGATTTCATAAGGAAGACATGTTTAGAGTGATTATCCAGTATTTAGATTTAGAAGGAAATCCTGAAATCCTGCTTAAATCCCTAGATGTTGCAGCTAGAATTAGCCAGGATACAGTTAGACTTGAGTTAGAAGGGAAAGAGAACGGGAAAGATAAAGAAAAGTGAAAAGTAAGGAAAAAAGAAAAACAGAGGAAAATGTAAAATGACAACAGAGAGGGGAACACAGTCACTAATGGAAAGGGAAGTAGCATTTAAAAAAGCATGATCTCCAAAGAAATAGGGCAACTAGACAATACGTTTTGATCAAAGAAAAGCTTGGAGTTAAAAAAGAGATGGCAATGTGTAGGATGATTTTGATTCTCAAAGAATTTGATTTAACTCAGAATTTTGTGATTCTTCCTACTCACTCCATCAAACATTCTTATAATTCTGAATATTTACACTAGGTTTCCTCTTAACCTTCAGACAGTAGGGATAAAAGGGGTCTTTTTCAGGAGGGCAGCTGGTGCCTAGGGCATTCTCAGGGGTCAGTGTTGGGACCACAATAATACACTAACGATCTGAATGAAGGAACTGAGGGTATTGTTGCTAAGTTTACAAATGACACAAAGATAGGTGGAGAGACAGGTAGCGTTGAGACTGGAAAGCTGCAGAAGGATTTGGACAGGCTAGGAAGTGGAGATGGAATACAATGTGGGAAAGTGTGAGTATATACACTTTGGTAGGAAGAATAGAGGTGTAAATTTTGGCAGTGGGCAAAGGCTTTGGAAATCTGAAGCACAAATGGTCTTAGGAGACTCCTGAACAAGGACTCCAAAGGTTAACATGTGGGTTCAGTTGGCAGTTAGGAATGCAAATACAATGTTAACATTTATTTCGAGAGGATTAGAATACAAGAGCAGAGATGCAGGGCTGAGGCTGTATAAGGCTCTTGTCAGACAGGATTTGGGATAATGTGAACAGTTTAGGGCCCCATATCTCAGGAACGACATGCTCACCTCAGAGAAGGTCCAAAGGAGGTTTACAAGAATAATCGCAGGAATGAAGGGCTTGTTATGTAAGGAGTGGTAGAGGACTCCGAGTCTGTACTCGGAGTTTAGTAGGATGAGAGTGGATCTGATTGAAACTTATAGAATATTGAGTAGACTGGATAGAGTGGATGTGGGGATGTTTCCACTAGGAGAGACTAGGAGTTGAGGGCACAGCCTCAAAGGGAAGGGATGACCCTTGAGAACAGACATGCATAGGAATTTCTTCAGCTGGGGGGGTAGTGTATCTGTGGAACACATTGCCACAGAAGGCTGTGGAGGGCAAATCATTGAATGTACTTGAGACAGATAGGACTTGACTAGTAAAGGGATTAAGGGTTATGGACAGAAGGCAGGACAATAGGGTGGAGAAATATATCAGCTATGATTGAATGGTGGAACAGGTTTGATGGGCTGAATGGCCTAATTCTGCTCTGGTCCTATAACTTACAGTCTTGTGGAGAATAACATCGACTTTGTCAATCTTGCCACATAACCAAGCTCCCTCATTCCTCTTAGGATACTGGTAAGCCTCCTTTGTCAAGAACTCAGAGACTACTTGCTTTCCTGGTGTGTCACCTTGAATTATATACAATATTACAAATGAGGCTTAAACAGTTTTGTAATCTTGAGTGTGACTTTTTTTCTGTGCTGAATGCTTTTATTTACAATTATCTGATACACTTCCTTAACCTGCCATTTTCAAAGGTTTGTAAATATACACCTCCTGCCTGAGTCTCAGTTAGGTTTACTGGTGTCTTCTTGTTGTTTCTGTCTATGTATGTCACCTTTCAGTTACCCACATTAAACTGTATCTGCCAGTTCACTAGTATTGGCAGTAGTGCATGTACTTACAGAAGAGGGCTTTCGGTGAATGCTAGTTGATAAATCTGTTAAAAATCAGAAGTCTTACAGCTCACAGTTCCATTCAATTACAATCCCAATGTAAATATCTTGTTGTATTCTTAAAATGCAAACTTCATCAATAAATATTTCACACCAGTAACATCCACCCACCACTGAAAGTGCTCCACTAGTATTGTTGGGAGGCAGGTCTGCAATCTATGTACCATGCCCAATTAATCTGGCTTCACTTGGTATGGATTGCCTCTGTGTAAAGAGGAGCCCAATAAGCAGGCATTAATCTGTAGCGTTTACCCAACATTCTCCACTGTCATCTCATTCTTCCCTCCGACTGCAATAATTTGTCTCCCTGTTGGACCCATCTCTTGATTTGCAGCATCATCTTTGGTCACTTTAATCACTGCTGGTCTCCAGCCAATCATCAACTTTCTCTTTCAACTGTACCTTTGCCCCGACTCTGTTTCCAATTTCTTGAACACAGTTGTGGCTTGGCCTGCTGCATGATTCCCAGCAGTGTCTATTTATTTATCTACATTCTGTCACAAAAATGTGAACACCAATGGCACGGCCAGCATTTATTCCCCGTCCTTGGGAAGCGGGGTGGTGAGCTGCCTACTTGAAATGTGCAGTCTTTAGGGTGTAGGAGCACCCATACAGCGGTTAGGGAGTTCCAAGATTTTGACGCAGCGACGGTGGTAAGGAGGATGATGATACAGTTCCACATCCGGTCAGCACATGGTTTGGAGGGAAATGGAAGGAAAATAACAACACTTCAGATTTTGTTTTTAAAATGGATACCACTGGCAAAACCACCACCCATCACCCTTCCCTAATTGGCTTAAATTGAATGGCTTGCCATTTCAGAGGGCAGTTGAGAGTCAGGAAGGGACAGCAAGTTTCTCTCTCCCAAGGACGTTAGTGAACCAGGTGGGCTTTTAGTGACAATGATAGTTTTATGGTCACAAGTACTGAGCCTACCTTGCAGATCCAGACTATTAATTGAATTTAAATTCTACCAATTGCATTGAGATTTGAACCCATGCCTCTGGATTACTAATCCAGTGACATTACCACTACATTTGAAGTGGTGAATTATGATAAGAGAGTGGAATTAATTAGATCACTCTTTCAAAGAACCAGCACATGCACAATGAACTGAATAGTCTTCTTTTCCAGCCCCTCAACTTCTCTTTAAAAATCCTTCTTGTTTTTCTTTCACACACTCCCACCTTCATGTCTCCCAACGACTGCATTCTTGCCTTATTGCTGTATCAAGTTCCACAAAGCGAGTTTAAGAACATTGGAACTAGGAGTGGAAGTAGGCCCTTTAAGCTTATCGACTCTGCTCAATCAGTCAAGCAGATCATGTCTGACGTGTGTGTTTTCACATTGAAGGCGTTACCCAAATACAGAGCAGTTGCTGGAACTGGCCTGCAGGCATATACCCATTCCCTCACAACCCCAAATTAATTTCAGATACTAAATTACTGGCCCTGTTACATTCCAGGGATTCTTTGTCTGGAAGCACACTAACTGTTGCCAGGCTACCACTTTACAGGGATAATACTCACAAATCAAACCACGTCTTTAATGAGGATCTGAATACAAACATGCACGCACACTCGGAAGTAACCAATGACAGTTTAGAACAAGGTCAATCACCGCTCGTGGACGGACACCAACTACAGCCTGTTGGATACCCCGAAACAGCTGAGCTCCAGGGCAAAGATACCAGGGTGACTGAGTGAGGGAGCTAAATACATGGTAGTTTTACACAAAGCCATGGCAGCATCACAGCGCAGTCTTAAAGTCAGATTAGGTTAAAAACTTCCTGTAGAGACAAAGAAAATAATTACACTTCTTCAAAGCAGTCTGCTAAAGTTTTTTTTAATTAAATATAATACATAAAGAAAATCCTCATGTTTTTCTATCCATAACGTGGAAAAGGGATGGTAAAGCAAAAAAAAAAGTTTGCACATGGAGTATGCTTTGGCTCTCCACTACAATAATGTGAACAGTTTTCAGATGCTTATCTTAAACATTTGCAAGTGTAGAAGGTAAAAGGGAATTTTTTTTTAAAGGGTCAAGTTTATGGTCAAGTCTTTGCTATTTAAATAAACATTCTTCACTTAAAGATTCTGGGAAGGCAGAGCAGGTTGAGTGGAATGCTGATGTCAAGGACAGCGCATCAGGGAGGCTGCTAACATTGGCCACTGAGGCACAACGATGCTGTTTCCGTTTAATGGCCATACCTGAGGAAATAAACAGTATTTTTAAGTCATTTTCACATATTACTCAAAACAGTCTCTCAACATAACACATTGGAGGCAACTCTTTGTGAAGACTATGAAAATAGCATTTGTGTATCCTGCAAAATGAACTCTGTCTATCACTGAATCTAGGCTGACTACATCCATAGCAGTGCCAATGCCACAAATTTTATTTTTCTCCATGTTCCCTAGCCCATGAACTCCCCCTTAGAAATCATGTAACTGAGGGCAAGTAAATCCTTACTAGAAACATAGGACACAGGAGGGAGTAGGTAATTCAGCCCTTTGAGCCTGCTCTGCCATTCATTATGATCATGACTATTCCCAATTTTATCCCATACCCTATGATCCCTTAGTCTGAAGTGCTATATCCAACTCCTTTGTGAAATCATACAATGTTTCGCCTCAACTGTTGTTCCTTGGTAGCAAATTCCACAGGCTCACCACTCTCATTTCTTATCTCAGTCTTAAAAAGTTAACCCCACATCCTTAAGACTGTGATCCAAGGTTCTGAATTTCCCTATCATTGGGAACATCCTTCCTGCATTCAGGCTTTCTAGTCCTGTTAGAATTTTATAGGTTTCTATGAGATCCCCCCCCCATATTGTTATGAACGGCCGTGAATATAATACTAACCGATTTAACCTGTCCTCATACACCAGTCCTGCCATCCCAGGAATCAGTCTGGTAAACCTTCACTACAGTCCCTCTTTAACAAGAGCAAGCTTCTTCAGATAAGGAAGCCAGAACTGCACAGAATCTTCCAGGTGGAATCACACCAAGATCCTGTACGATTTGCAGCCAGGCATCCCTGTTCTTGTAGTCTAATTGTCTCGCTATGAAGGCCAATGTACCATTTCCCTTCTTCACAGTCTGATTAACCTCCATGTTTACCTTCAACAACTGATGGAGGACGACCCCCAGGTCTCACTGTACATTACCTCTCTTAATTTGTAGCCAGATAACAACAACCCACCTTCCTGTTATTGCTACCAAAGTGGATAACTTTACATTTATCCACATTATACGGCATTTGCCCACTCACTCACCTTGTCCCAAATTACTCTGAAGCATCTCTGCATCTTCCTTACAGCTCACCCTCCTACCCAGCTTTGTCTCAATGCACATCTTGAGATATTACATTTAGTTCTCTCATCTAAATCATGAATATATATTGTGAATTGTTGGGCACTAATCCTTGCAAACCTGTATCCAAGGTTACCTTCCTGCTATTCAGAAAAAGAACCGCTTGTTTCCGGTCTGCCAACCATTTTTCTATCCATCTCAATACACTGTCCCCATCCCATGCACTAATTTTAGTTTTACACATTAATCTTGTGATACTTTTACACCACATCCACTGGCTCTGCCTCATCAATCCCACTAGTTACACCCTCAAAGAATTATAGTAGATTTGTCAAACATAATTTGCCTTTCGTAAATTCATGCTAAAACGGTCCGATCCTGCTACTATTTTACAAGAGTCCTCTGCTTTCAAATCCTTCAGAACAGACTCTAGCATTTCCCCCCACTAGACATCAGACTGACTGGTCTATAATTGAGTTTTCTATCACCCTCTTTGGATAGAGTGGTTACATTAGCTACCCTCCAACCTGTAGGAATTGCTCCAGGGTTTATAAAATTTTGAAGATGACCACCACACCATCCACTATTTCTAGGGCCACCTTAAGTACTCTAGAATGTAGATTACCAGGCTGAGGATTTATCAGCCTCCAATCCCATCAATGTCCCTAACATCATTTCTCCACCAATACTGATTTCCTTCAGTTCCTCCTTCTCATGAAACCCTCCGTTTCCCACAGTTCTGGTAGTTATCACTTTTGTCCTCTGCAAACACAGCCAAAGTATGCATTTAGTTGGTCAGCCATTTCTTTATTCCCCATCATAAATTCCTGTTTCTGACATTTGTCTTCACCAATCTTTTTCTCTTCACATACCTATAGAAATTTTTACAGTCAGTTTTACATCCCCCACAAGCTTACTCTTGTATTCTATTTTCCCTTTCTTAACCAATCCCCTTGTTCTCCTTTGCTGATTTATAAACAGCCCACACTCCTCAGGTCTGTTGGTTATTTTTTCTGGCTATTTTGTGTGTCTGTTCATTGGATCTAATACTGTCTAAAATTTACCTGAAGTACTGAATACTAGATGTAATATGACCTGCATGCACTAATGGACTTCAATAACATTTACCATGCAGAATTCCCACAGTCCTATATATTAAGATACTTTGCACACATGTTCAATTTGTTCCTCTAAATTTATTTACCAGACACACTCCCACAAAAATATCCTTACTTACTTCTGGAATTCCCACTCCCTGTTGTCCAACGGGCAAACCTGTCTGGTCTTCAGCCAACGTGAAATGCAGTGGAAATGGAAGGCATGCTGCAAAAACAGACAGGAGAGAGAGAGGCAGAAGGTTAACAGTAGCAGTCATCACCTGCTTGTCTGTACACACAGTATTGTTCTACTAAAGTAGTAACGGTGCTTGCAATATCTTGTCTGGCTTTCTGGTGCTGCCATTTGATCTGAATCGATGGGGTGGGGCCAAGGACCATAACAGTAATGTCACTGGACTAGGACTCAAGATCACAGATGGTGAAATTTGAATTCAATACAAATCTGGAACTGAAAGCTGGTCTAATGGTGACCATTTAACTACTGCTGATTATTGTGAAAAGCCACCTAGATTGTGAACGTTAAGAAATCTGATGCCCTTACCTGGTCTGCATTACATATGACTTCACACCCATAGTAAAGTTGACTCTTAACTGTCCTCTGGACATTTAGGGGTGGGCAACAAATGCAAGTCTAGCCAGTGACTCTCCAATGCCATTACAAAATAAACAAATCATATGTTTAGGATGTCTAACAGTACGATATTAACAATAGTAAAAGACTTTAGGCACTGGAAATCTGCAATAAAAACTGCAAATGCATCTGTTGTCAGATTCACAGGAAGTTTTCATTTAATTACCTGTGATTCTAGATGGATCAGATCCACGTATTCACAAGACAGACTGACATCAGAGAACACAGTTTCCACAACAGTTAGGGCAGTCGAAGGCCACACATGCTCTGATTTCATTGGTCAAACTGCTCAGATAATCGTCATCTTAGGCAAGGTAACAAGTAACCATAAGAGATGCACGGGAACACAGTCCTCAAAAGAAGGCAGGGTGAATAAGCAATTAAACTCCAGCTTATTACCTGCTCATTTTGCAAGAAGCATTGCAGGATGCAATGGTTTAAAGATAGAGGTGAAATCATTAAACCACGTGGAGGAACCTTGCACTTCAATAGTTCCTTCATAATACAAAAGCATCACAAAGCACTTCACAGGCAATTAAAAAGGACTGTAGTGCCTGCTGAAACACAGGAAAATTCACGGCAAGATCCCAAGAACAGCGTCAACCAGACACCCATTTTTTGATGATTTTGTTCGGTGGAACAAAGTTGGTCAGGACACAAGAGAATTTTGCCTGCTGCTGTGGGATATAAAATCCATTTACAAGGGTGGTGGGGACCTGCTTATCTGCCTATTCAAACACAAAAAGCCACTTACAATGCAGAGTTCTCCCTGTATGCACTGAAGTAGCAGCTCAGATTCTTGTATCTAACAATATCACAAGCTTATGCCCAAAGCCATCAGAGACAGTAATGGAGACACAAGATACTTACATTACACACACCCCAAGCGACAGTGCACTCCTCTGAAGTCGCCGAAGCCTGGTTTGCTTGACATTCTATACCTACAGATCAGAAAAAATTCAACAGCACATTACCTATCCAATTTGGCAGCAGTGCGTGTGCTGGCATTGCCAAGTGGAACTAATTGATGACCGTATGAAGCAGGTTCAGCTCCCCATTCTGTTGTGTTGTTACACTCTGTCCTGGATTCAGGCAGATTTCAAACAGCACCTACAAAGCTGTAGTTGGATGGTTACAATGAGTTCCGAGCTTTGCAGATTCCAGACCACTTTCATTTGATTTGTTGAAAAACATCCAGAATTATATATTATTCAATATCTCAATTTGGATCAAACCTGCCTAACCATAAATTGATCAGGTACGGTGGGCAATAAATGCTATACATGGTAAGAACACCCACATCCACAAAAGAATAAAAAAAAAAGCTTCACTCCAGCCATAGAATAGGGGTCAAAACGTTCGCATTCTGCTTCTCTTCAGTACAGAAAGTTGAGGGGTGCCTCATCGAGGCGTCTGAAATGCTAAAAGAATTTGATGGGGGCAAATGAGAGGACATGATATATTTAGAACCAGGCCATTTATAAGGTGAAACCAATAGGCACTGTTTTCCTGCACAGGGGAGTGGTCAACTGGATCACTCACTCTTTCAAAGACTGTGGATTGAGAGAGAATTGCAACTTTCAAAATGGAAGTCAATAAATATATGAAAAATAGATCAAGTTCATTATCATCACAGTTTCCCTTCCTTTCCCCAATAAATAACTGTATTTACTGGAAGTCCATATATGGGGAAAATCGTGAACTATCAGGTGAAAGCCATATCATAGGAACAGGAGTAGGTCATTCAGCTCTCAAGTCTGTTCTGCAATTCAATAATATCTGGGATGATCTGTGGCCTAATTCCATATCCTCCGCTTTGGCCCATACCCCTTAACAAATTTAAAAAAAAAAAATCAGCTCTCTCAGATTCAATACTAACAACTTATTCACCATCCACTGCCGTTGTGGAAGAAAGATCTCTACCACCTTCTGTGTACTGAATTGCTTCCTAATCGCTCCTAAACAGTCTAGCTTGATTCTCAGACTATGACCCCTAGTTATAGAATCCCCAAACAGTGGAAATAGCTTATCTTTATCTACCCTGTCTTTTGTTGTTAATATCTTGAATACTTCAAATCAGATCACCCCATTATCTTCTAAATTCTAAAAAAAAGGTCTAATTTGTATGATCTCTCCTCATAATTTAACCCCTTAAGTCCAGGTATCATTCTTGTAAACCTAGGCTGAACAGTCTCCAAGGCCAATATATCCAATCCTCAGGCGTGGTGTCAAGATCTGCTTACAGTAATCCATATGGTGTCTAACCATGGTTTTGTATGACTTGCAGCATTACTTCTGCAGTCCTCCAGATATAAGGGCCAGCAATTAGCCTTCTCGATTATTTTCTGTACTTATTCATGGCATTTGAAAAATCTATGCACCCTGAATCCCCAAGTCTCTTTGGGCATCCACTGTATTTAACTTCACACCACCTAGAATGTATCCTGATCAATCCTTTTCTAGTCCAAAACTAATAACCTCACAATTGCTTACATTGAACTCTGTCTGCCACAGTTTTCACCATTCACTGAGTCTATCAATATTGCTTTTTAGTTTTATGCTATTATTTACACTGTCTACAAAGCTGTCTAACTTTGTGCCATCAGCAATTTTAGATATATGACTTTCTATGTCATTATCCAGGTCATTTATAAATGAAATGAATAATTGACGCCTTAACACAGATACCTGTAGGACACCACTGGTTACATCCTGCCAAAGTCAAATGGCTTCACAGCATATATTTGTAATTCTTAAATTCTCTGAATGCAGCACATACTCACAGAGGTCCATGATGTGATTTCGGCAGATGGCACAGTTATCCACCACAATGTCCCAGGCCCACAGGGCTACTGCATTCCACTGTAACAAAACGCAGGGTTAAAAATATAGTTAAAACAACTATAGTTAGGGTCAGTAGATTAATACCCTATTCACAAAAGATTCAAGATAAACACAGGTGAAGGTGGGCCCTGAGTTTAGCCACCCTGAGAATTCTCTTAAATTAAAAAAAAGAAAATGCTAGAGAAACTCAGTGGGTCTGGTAACACCTGTGGAGACAGAACCAGTTATTGCTTTAATTTCAATGGCTTCGTTCAGAACTGAGACTCCTCTTGCCGCGTTCAAATGCTTTACAACAATTGAAGGGATTTCACTTTCACTACTCTAACAGGCATTGATCATCATATGAAGGATGTTTTGATGAGTCATAATTATCTTTAATTTAGTAATGTTCAGTTTATAATATGCCAGATTAATCTCCTTTGCACCCATTTATAATCCCTTATGCCTCTTAAATTACCTACAGACACCTCCTATCGAGGGTGCAGCTTTTACAAAGAGCACATTGATTTCAAGAAGTGACAGAGATTGCTGGTGATGTAGAACCTAGATATGTGAAGATATCCATAACATCCAATGTCACATTGTCAAATCTGATACAGGATGCTATGGCAACATCTGGACCATGAGATTTATCTTTGCTATTCTGATAGTCAAACCAACTCTTTACAGATGAGATAGAATCTGTCCATTTATACGGCTATCAGTCTGTAGGGAATGCCAGTGGACAGTCAGCATAGAGCATCTCCTTTAATATACCTTTACCTGAGATCCAAGTCAGTCATTTCTGGAATGTAAGTAGATATCCTGAGAAGGTGATTTAAAGGCACATGACAGTGGCAAGAAGAACAGGCAAAGGGTGTCAGCACCAGTACATAACCCTGGTTAAGTACATTTCACATTTCAAAGGATTGCATTCGTGCCTCATCAGAGCTGTCACAGAAAACAAGCATCGCATCAGCACCTTTGACAAGTGAGAAATTTTCTCTGGCAAAATAAATAGACTATCATTGCTCACTTGCTCAAATGCCACAGTGCAATTGATGGAGGCAATAAACAGTGGTCTCCCTTGCTTACAGTCTTTTGTCATTGGCAAAGCCTGGTGTCAGATCAACTGAATACATCACATTAGGAAAGAAAAAGAATTAAAATTAATCTTCTTGATTGGCAATCTGAAATGTGAAGACCATGTACATAGAATTGTTAGACAAATTGCACCTGATTGATAACAAGCGAAAGGCAGCCCTAATCGACACAAAACAGATAGGTTAAACATTGACATAGCTTCCCTTCAAAGATCAACTCACCAAAAGAAAAACATAAGCTCATCTGGTATGAGAAGAATTCAGAATAAATGCATAAGCAAAGTATAGGCTTCACTGTAAGGATCTCACTATTCTCAATTATAGAACTCCCCTTATGGGTCAGAACATGTTCTCTTTAGTTAACCTCATGTATATTGTTATGACAGATATAAAAGAGCTGACTATCAATATATCTCCTGTCTTAATTGGCACTTATGTAATTTCATACATCGTGAAATAAAAGGCTTGCCTGTAAATTATCCAATTTTGGAAGACAAGGAAGACAGACTCAGGAAAACACACTGAATTATATTTAGACACACACACACACACACACACACACACACACACACACACACACACACGGCTCTCTTTTTCTCCCTGGTTCTTCATCTCAGAAGACTGTCAATGAGAAAGCAAATTTTGAAAACAATGATTAACCATGAACTTAAAGACATTTACAGGTTCTGAGACGATTGTTCTCAGGTTAAAAATCTAACATCAAGGATTTTAAGGACTGTTAAACTGCATAGCCTTTATTTTTCTCGCCTGTACCAGGCACATTTTTAAAAAGAACATTATACCGGCATTTGATTATGTGTTTTATTGTTTTTACTCAGATTTTCTTAGCTAATAAGATTTCTCTCTTTCACTCAGTAAACCTTGTAATGGACTCCTTAATTTTGACTAGTATTAAGTTTTAATTGTAGTGTGATAGCTACATGCTAAAAATAAATTTAAAATTGCTGTGACTGACCAAAGGGAACTTTCTAAAAAAAAAAGGAGCCATATTAGACCTGTAACAAACTTTCCAACTTAGTTATTGGATAGTTTGCATGAAGGGTTACCCTATTATTTAAAATAACACAGGATATCTGGAGAAAACTGGAGGGAAAAATGGACATAGTAAATGGACAGTAGTAAGTCCCCTTTTGCACTGCGCTCTTGAAATATCTTACTCAGACTGGAATAATGCTTTCCTAGTTCTGATTTCAGACCCTGGTTTGTGGTGCTGCGTGCATGCAATGTCAATGAAAACATGACATGACATTGAATAGACACTTCCACTGCATCATCCAATCAAGTTTGTAAACGCTTCGTATAACGTAAAACGTTGAACACAAAATAGTTTAAAACTTACACTATCCCTCAATTCAATTTTCAAGCAGCTCTTAAAATAACCTCAAAAAAAAGACAGAAATATCATTGGACTTCTGTACCGTCACATTATTTGCAGATATTGGACAAACCACACCATAACCAAGTGGGAAATAAGTGGAGAGTCTGGAAACACTCAGCAGATCAGCCCAGATCTGTGGAACAACAATTTAACATTTCAAGCTCTAAACTGAATGTGACATCAGCTTCAAATACTTATGACACTTTAGAAGAGGATCACTGCCTACTGATTAGGTGGAGAAACCTAGGCAGAGTTTTTCTTTCCTTCCTCTACTTACAAAGCAGCGAATTGTTCTAAATCTTTTACTAAATTCCTTTCCCAATTCATTCCTAGGATGCAAATATCAACAAGTTTGGCATTTGCTGCCCATTCTAAAAGGCCTTGATTGAAAGGAGTTAACTTGGCAACTATTAGAAGCTGAATTTAGCATATTCTAGTTTCTGTAGTCATCTCCAGACCTACAAAATTCCTGATCACTGCAGCATCAGCAGCCATGCAGTTCATAAAAGTCATTGATAAATCCAATAAGAAATTCAGGGTGAAGGTATTTAGGTATAGCATAGATGTACTGCAATTAAAGGGAAGCAGGATAAGTGCATAGGGAGAAAGGAATAAAGGAATATGCTGACAGAATGAGATAATGTAATAAAAGAAGTTATTGAGAAGCATATACTGGGCAGACTAGATTGCACTATAAATGTAACATAGGTGTGTCAGATAAAGACTGAATGACCAACTGCACATCCATTTACAAGGGCCAAATGAAGAAATATCGTTAAACACTGCACTCACCACAAAGTGTTCATGCTTAGGCTGCACCTAAATTTGAGAAACTCCACGGGAATAACTGATTTAAACACTTTTGGGGCAGTAGGTTCCAAACTATTTTGAAAATAACAACCTCAATTGAGGAGCAAAAGCAATGAATCATGTCACAAGAACTGTCTCCTCTTAGATAATAACCAGCACCACATCCCAGACAGCATCCAGCCTTACCCTGCTCTTCTCTGATACTCTCTATGGCCAATGGGCTCTTGCCAACAGCTACTTCATTTCTTCACCACAGAAATTGTCATACAATATGTTTCTTGCAGAAGCACTCCAGCTTATAAAGCCTGGTCCCTGGTATCCGGTGCCCCCAAGCTGAACAATGGCATGTCTCAGCCAACCCAGACACTGTGATACTGCAGAACAATCTGGAATCCAACATCAATCACCTGAAGACTACAGTCTATATTTCTGCTGTTTTCTGACCAAGATGCCAGATCCATAACCTGGATTGGCTCACGTGAAGTCATTTTTTAAAAATTAACTCATAGATTGTGGGCAATCAGGCAAGGATTTACTGCACATCCCTAGAGTCAACCACATTGGTGTGGGTCTGATGACACATGTAGGACAGACCACGCATGGGCAGCAGTTTCTTTCTCTAAAGCAAATTAGTGAACCGGATGGGTTTTTCCAACAAATGGCAACGATTTCACACCATTATTGGACTCTTAGTTCCAATTTTTAATTACTGAATTCAAGTTCTACACCTGCCATGACAGGATTTGAACTGAAATCACCAGAACATTAGGAACAATACCACTAGGCCTTCACCCCTTCAGGTACATAAAATAACATTTATATGAAGGCATTTTAAAACTTATTATATATTTGTGATGATTATATGTCAACCTATAATACAATTTTAAATTTTACATATTCATTGTCAAAATGCTATTTGTTTTTCTCTTAAATAACTGAGAAAAGTGAAAACATTTGTGAACAATGAAAACATCTCTATTATGTTAAATGCATGCAGGGCCAAGGGCTACAACCCCTCAAGTCTGATGTCAAATTTACTTCTGAACTCACTTGCACCCTTTAAGACTTTTTTTTAAGCAGGAGCTTGCTGTGCAGGGTAGGACTCTGATTTTTTTTTCCAATACATTGAAATAGTTTTAATATAAACTGTAATTAAGTTAGTTCTCTGGGATAAAGGAATAAAGTTGAGGACTCAATACATTTAACTTTTCTCTTCACAGACGCTGCCAAACCCACTGAGTTTTTCCAGCAATTCCTATTTTCAGTTACAAAGGAATTCTCATTTTTATTGTTAAAGCAATATACCAAAAATGAATGCACGTATGAATGTGAGCGGGACATGAACTGTTTGCATCTGTAAAGTGTTAAAATGGGTCCGTACTGGAAGATACCATCAGGAGCTGCTAGCGACAAATCCACACCTGCTCCTCTGGTCATGTCTCCCTGAGAAACAGATGTGTAACCAGCGGCCTAAAAAAAGAGACATGCATGTGACAGAGGCCCAATGACAAAGCAGCAAGCGAGCAGGGTCTGTGCCTCTCCAGTAGGGCCAAGGCCGGGGGTGTGGGAGCGTGTCAGAATAGGACGGCGGGAAGTGGGAGCGGGATGAGATTTAGAGAGCACGGAGACACTGGGGGCGCAGGGGGCTGGCCAATGCTCTTCTAGTTAGCTCACGACCACCACTGGTCAGCTGGTGCTGCCAATTAAGCCGCCAATATCCGCTCGTGTTTCGATCCGCTTCAAACTGCCGGATTTTGAAACATCACACGTTTCAATACCCAGCCCTGCTCCATTGGTAGCAGTCTGTATCCTGCATCCCAGCAAACTGTACCTTTTTAACCTCGAAGCGCTTCTTCCCGCCACTATTGGTAGAGCTTGGGGCGTCCACATCCATTGCCGTCGCCATTTTGTCTGCCTTCAGCCGGCGCTGCCCGTTGCCAACCAATCAGCTATGGTCGATTTGCGCATGCGCGTTTGTGGTGCGCGACGCCGACCTGTTAACGCCTCGCCTACTTAGCGTCACTAGGATCCTGACAACTCTAAACTTCAAAAACACTATACTCAGCCCCGCCTCCTCCGGTATGGAGGAGCCACGAATCCACTAAGCTCCGCCTCTACGTCACATGTTCCCGTCCACACCCCGGAGTTCCGTCTCCTCTCTTGTGGAGGTACCCAAACTTTCACAAAGCCCTGCCCCTTCCCAACACGTTTTTGGCCACGCCCACTACACGAAGCAGAGCTCCACCTCCTCCCGCTATTTCGCCACCAAACTCGGTGTACATCAAAGGCCTGCTCACCCCTGGCACGTGAACATGACCGTGTGTCGTCACAGAGCGACGCCACTTTCCGTAACACGTCTCCCCAGTGAAGCCTCGCCTCTCCATGTCGTCACATAGTACCGCCTCCGACTGTAGGACCACCCTGATAAGATGCATGCACAAAGCCCACCCCCAGAAGTGACCGGCTACACAAAGCACCGCCCCCCCATCCCGGCACGGCGCCACCTGCAGGTAGGGCACTGCCGTGATTTCTTTCCTACCCCCAGGAGGCAATGGCCGCCATTACTGGGCATCATTTCCCTGTCGTTAGCACCCCCACCCCCAGGAAATCAAATCTTTGTGTTTCAAATGTGTGGAATTTGTTTTTTATTGGAGTTGACGTCAGTTGTGCTTCATCGAATACAACTGAGCAGGTTGAACATGGAAAATTCCGAGGGGTTTGACAAAAGCAAATAATCGAAGCAAAGATAGAACGCTGGTAACTTGAACGCAAAATTCTTCCATAAAACATATGGATACTGAAAGAGTGGTAAAAGGATAAGCAGGGCCAATTGGAGTCCAAAGTGGAAATTTGTGCAGGGCTTGATGGAGATCTGAAATTATCACTTCAAAACTTTTCACAATGTAGAAGATACCGATCACACCTTAGTGAGACTATAACACATTAATTGGAGGCTGGAGCAGGCCACTTGGTGCTTCAAGCTAGCACGGCTGATCTGATTTCCATCAGTCTTCACAGTGGAATTCACCAGCAGCATACCAGAACTGTAAGAAAGTCAATGGGCAGAGATGAGTGTGGTGGCCATCACTAAGGAGAACATACTTGCTAGGCTGAAAGGTCTGGAGGTGGATAAATCACCAGGACCAGTTGGACTGCACCCCCAGTGTCTGGAGGAGATAGCTGAGGCGATCATGGAGGCATTGGAGGATCTTTCAGGAATTACTGGAGTCAGGGAGGGACCTAGAGGACTGGAAAATGGCTGATATAACACCCGTTTAAGAAGGGATGGAGGCCAAAGACTGGAAATTATAGGCCAGTTAGCCTAACTTCGGTCGTTGGTAAGATTTTAGAATCCATTATTAAGGAAATAAGATGGTGTTAGAGGCAAGGTATTGGTTGAGCCAGAGGAATGGCTGACTGGCAGAAGGCAAAGAGTGAGGAATCTGAGCATGCTGATTAAAAATATCTACATTGAAAGTTCTTCCATTTCACATTGAAATGTTTTGAAGTGATTCACCCAAATAACTACTTTTAAAATTGAATCATAGAATAATATAGCACAGAAGGAGGCTACTCGGCCATTGTGTCATTACTGGTCCTTCAAAATAACAATCCATTCCTCGGCTCTTTATCCCTGGCCCTGGAGGTATTTTCCCTTCAGATATCTATCTACTTTTGAATCTGGTTCCATCATGTTTTCAGTGAATTCCAGATCACAAGTGCAATTCCCTCGTGTCATCTATGTTCTTTTGCTCATGAAGCCTGACATCAGTGGTGGGCAAGTTGTTGGAGGGAATCCTAAAGGACAGGATTTACTTCTATTTGGAAAGGCAAGGACTGATTAGGGATAGTCAACATAGCTTTGTGCATAGGAAATCGTGTCTCGCTAATTTGATTGAGTTTTTTGAGGAAGTAACGAAGAGGATTGATGAGGGCAGAGCAGTGGATGTGATCTATATGGACTTCAGAATGGTGTTCGACAAGGTTTCTCACGGTTGTCTGGTTTGTAAGGATAGATAGCATGGAATACAGGGAGAACTAGCCATTTGGATACAGAACTGGCTCAAAGGTAAAAAACAGAGGGTTGTGGTGGAGGGTTGCTTTTCAGACTGGAGGCCTGTGACCAACGGTGTGCCACAATAATTGGTGCTGGGTCCACTGGTTTTTGTCATTTATACAAATGATTTGGATGTTAACGTAGGAGGTATGGTTAGTAAGTTTGCAGATGATGCCAAAATTGGAGGTTTAGTGGACAGTGAAGAAGGTTACCTTAGAGTACAACGGGATCTTGATCAGATGGGCCAATGGGCTGAGGAGTGGCAGATGGAGTTTAATTTAGATAAATGTGAGGTGCTGTATTTTTGAAAGGCAAATCAGGGTAGGACTTATACACTTAATGGTAAGGTCCAGGGGAGCGTTGCTGAACAAGAGACCTTAGAGTGCAGGTTCATAGTTCCTTGAAAGTGCAGTTGCAGGTAGGTAGGATAGTGAAGAAGGTGTTTGGTATGCTTGCCTTTATTGGTCAGTGCATTGAATAAACAGGTTAGGAGGTCATGTTGTGGCTGTACAAGACATTGGTTTGGCCACATTTGGAGTGTGGCGTGCAATTCTGGTCTCCCTCGTATAGGATGTTGTGAAACTAGAAAGGGTTCAGAAAAGATTTACAAGGATGATGCCAGGGTTGGAGGGTTTGAGCTATAGTTAGAGGCTGAAGAGACTGGGGCTATTTTCCCTGGGGAGTCAGAGGCTGAGGTGTGAACTTTATAAAGGTTTATAAAACCATGAGGGGCATGGATAGGGTAAATACGCAAGGTCTTTTCCCTGGGATGGGGGAGTCCAAAACTAGAGGGCATAGGTTTAAGGTGAGAGGGGAAAGATATAAAAGGAATTTAAGGAGCAACTGTTTCACGCAGAGAATGGTGCGTGTATGGAATGAGCGGCCAGACGAAGTGGTGGAGGCTGGTACAGTTACAACATTTAAAAGCATTTGGATGGGTACGTGAATAGAAAGGGTTTAGAGGGACATGGGCCAAATGCTGGCAAATGGGACTAGATTTATATAGGATATCTGGTCGGCATGGACAAGTTGGACCAAAGGATCTGTTTCTGTGCTGTTTATCTCTATGACTCTAAGTGACTATATGGTAGACAAATGCAGGAACATTCAACAGAGTTAAAGTTTCGCATCTGGTGTGGCTGTCCTTCAGAAGTTCTGTAGAAGTCATACTGAACTCAAAATGTTAACTGTTTCTCTCTGCATAGATGCTGCCAGACCTTCTGGGTTTCTCTAGCATTCTCTGTTTGCTTCAGATTTCCAGCATCAGCAGCATTTTGCTTTTATTTAAATACTTTGTCCAATGTTGCTTCACCAGGTTCATACTTCATTTTTAGGTATGTCTGACACTGCTTCTGGCATGCCCTCCTCCATTCTTGTTTGAACCAGGGTCAATCGCAAGTTTGTTAATTATGGTAGCGTGCTAGGCTATGAAATTATAGGTTGTAGTTGAATGTAATTCTACTGCTGATAGTTCACAGTACCTCATGGATACTTAGTTTTGAGTTGCTAGATCTCTTTGAAATCTATCCAATTAGGTGATGGTAGTGCTGCACTATGAGGCAGGGCAGCACAGTGTTTAGCACTGCTACCTCACTCCGCCAGCAACCCCAGGTTCAATTCCAGTCTTGGGTGACTCTCTCTGTGGAGTTTGCACATTCTCCCTGTGTCTGCGTGGGTTTGTACCAGGTGCTGTGGTTTCTCCCACAGTCCAAAGATGTGCAGGTGTAGGTGGATTGGCGATGCTAAGTTGCCCTGTAGTGTCCAGGGGTGTGCAGGCTAGGTGGATTGGCCATGGTAAATGCAGGGTTATGGGGATAGGATGGATCTGGGTGGGATGCTCTTTGGAGGGTCAGTGCAGACTCGATGGGTCAAATGGCCTCTTTCTGCACTATAGGGATTTTGCGAAGATATTCTTGATGAGAAACTGGGACTTTAGCCTCAACAAGGACTGTGCATTACTCCTACCAAGACATGGTGAGATGCATCTGCAATGAGTAGTTTAGCAGGGATGAGGGCAGGTAGGTTTTTCCCTCAATGGCTTCCTCAGCACCTGCTGCATACTGAGTCTAGCAGTAATGTCCTTTGGAACTTGGTCAATTTGGTCAGTAGTGGCGCTATTCAGTCTTCATAATGGACATTAAAATTCCCAAGCCAGAATACATTCTGTGCTCTTGTCACTTTCAGTCTTTCATCCAAGTAGTGTTCAACATTGAGGAATAGTGATTTATCAGTTGATGGAGGCTGGTATATGGTAATGCACAGGTGGTTTTCATGCCCATGTTTGAACAAATGGCATGGCACCGTTTGCAGTTAAAAGTCAATGTTGTGGACTTCTAGGGCAACTCTTTCCCAGTTGTATATCACTGTACTGTCGCTGGTAGGGTAAAACCTGTGGATGGGATAGGCCATAACCACAGATGTTGATAGCTGAGATGCTGTATGTAAGGTATGACTGAGCAAGTACAACTATATTAGGGTGTTCCTGGACTAGTCTGTGAGTCAGTGCTCTCTATTTTGGCACAAATGTCCGGATGTCAGTAAAGAGAGCTTTGCAGGATCAACAGAGCTGGGTGTGCCATTGTCATTTCCACTGCTTAAGTTAATCCCAGTGGTCTGACTGGTTTCATTTTCTTGGTGGCTTGTTAGGTCATTTCAGTGTCAACTATATTGCTGTGAGTTTGGAGTTATGTATAAACTGGACCAGGCAGGAGTAGCAGCTTTTAATTCCGGATTTATTACTTGAATTTAAATTCTACCAGCTGCTATGATGGGATTTTAACCCATGTCCCTGGACCACTAATCCATAATGATGCCATCACTTTCCTTTTAAATACATATTACTCCTGAGAGCGACTCATCATTCTCCCAACAGGGTAAGCAGAATCCAGGGAAGGGAAAATGGTGAAGGTGTAAGGTTCTATAGCCCAATGATTATGATCCAGCAACCCACAGAAAGCCATTCAGTTCAAGGGCAGTCATGGATGGGCAACAAATGTAGGCTTTGCCATCAGTGCAATATCAGATGAAACAAAAACCTGAAGAAGGGTATAGAAAACCAGCAGATGCTGGAAATCAGAAACAAAAAACAGAAATTGCTGGAAAAACACTACAGGTCTGGCAGCATCTGTGCAGAGAAAGCAGCCTGGGAGAATGAATAGCTGCTAATAGGGAGCATTAGTGACTGACAATGGGTTGTTTGTGGTAGCAGTCCGTGCGATGATAAGACCTGGTGTGTGGGGTTAGGGTAAGGACATAGGAGAAGGTGCTCAACTTCCAAAATTGTTGAACTCAGTAATGAGTGCCGTAGGCTACAGGGTTCCCAAGCAGAAAATGAGGTGTTGTTGTTTCCAGCTAGTGCTTAACTTTGCTGGAACACTGTAGCAAGGCTGAGACAAAGACGTTGGTCAGAGAACACAGTGGTATATTGAAATGGCAGGTAACCAGAAGCTCAGGGTCATGTTTGCAAACAGAATGTAGGTGTTCTTAAAACAGTTGCCCAGTCTGTACTTCATCTCTCCAGCGTACAGGAGACTTCATTGTGAGCAGCGAATACAGTAGAGAAGACTGAGTGAAGTGCAGGTAAATTGCTGCTCACCTGGGAGGTGTCTAGGGCCTTGGATAGTGAGGAGAGAGGAAGTACGGACAGGTATTACAACTTCTGTGATTGCAAAGGAAGGTGCTGTGGGGGTGTGGAGAGGTGTTGGGAGTGGAGCAAGAGTAGACCAAGTGCCCCGGAGGAAATAGTCCCTGATGAAGGCTGGGAAGGGAGGGAAGCGTAAATTTGTGTCTAGTGGTAGCATCCCATTGGCAGAAATGGAGGCTAATGATCCTTTGGATGTGGATGCTGGTGGGATGGTAAGTGAGGATAAGGGGATCCTATCCTTGTTGTGGGAGGGAAGAGGGGGGTGAGGGCTAAAGTGCGGGAGATGGGTCAGATGCAACTGAGGGTCCTGTCAACCACGGTGGTGGGGAATCTCAGTGGAGGAAGAAAGTAGATATTTTAGAGGCCCCCTTGTCGAAGTTGGCATCATTGGAACAGATGTGATGGAGATGGAAGAACTGGGAGAATGGAATAGAGTCTTTACAGGAAGCAAGATATGAGGATGTATAGTCAAGGTAACTGTGGGAGTTGGTGGGCAGTCTATCCCCAGAAATGGAAACAGAGAAGGGAGGAATCAGAGGTGGACTAGGTGAAGGTGAGAACAGAGTGGAAATAGGAAGTGAAATATATTAACTTTTTCAATTCCAGATGAGAAAGGGAAGTCATTGATGTACCGGAGAAATAGTTGATGGTGGGGACCAGAGTAGGACTGGAACAAGGAATGTTCCACATACCCCGGGGGCATGTGGATAGTCAGGAAATGGAGTTTAATACAGTCAACACTTTTTTGAATGGGAGAACAGACTTGAAGGGCTGTGTGACCTACTCCTGTTGCTAATTCTTGTGGAAAAGACTAGAAATGGTATAAGATTGATGTAAAAGCCAATTAGTTCAATAATCTGGAGGGGTCACTGATGCTGCTTCACTTGCGGAGTATTTCCAGCATTTTCTGTTTTCATATCACTTTTCCAGGAGCCACAGTATTGCTTTTGTAATTCACTAACCTAGTCTGGCTTGACTCTGGATTCCCCCAAGGCAACTATGAATGGACAATGCAGTGTTACCATTCCTAGAAACAGATGGAGTTCAGAAAGAAAATTCCATCTGTTTACCTATTGCAAATGAATATGGGTAGTGTGTCACAATTTAATGCCTCATCAAACACACTGCTATGGAAAATACTAATAAAACTTTGCATTGTCCATTGGTGCTTAAGGTGAATCATCATTGCTTACATTTCATTTACTAATCTTAGGAAACGAAACTAAAACAAGGATCGAATCGTGCAATTTGTGGAAAAGATCACTGGCCAATGATGTATAAGCCCTTTGATATTGCCTTGATACAATGATTTTCCTGTTAGGTAGATGCAGTTTTCACATTGTCCAGTTATTGAAATGAATTTCTAGTGTGTTCATCCCACCACATTCATAAAAATGAAAACTCCATGACACAGGTATATATACAATATATATCCACCTGATATGAAGAATAAGTTTATACTTTTGAGGTCATTTTGGTGCCGCATACTGAAAGTTCTTGGATATTTTCATGCATAGAAGTGGAACTAGTTGGACAGCATTTTGCTCTTGTGGTGCAGCAGTAGTGTCTCTACCTCTGGGCCAGAAGGTTCAATTCCCACTTGCCATGGAAGTGAGTCATAATATGTTCAAACAGGTTGATTTAAAAATTATTTTAAAATGCATCAAATAGCCTCATTCTGACTTATAAAATGCAAACTAGGATTGCTAGGCATCAATTAAGATTGAATTAACAACAAAAATGCTATTTTTAGAAAAGGATGCAAACAATAGATTCCTGATTACAAGGAGAACAAAAGGAAGCCTATTAAAGCACAAAGCACAATATTGTTCCTCATGTTCTAACTAAGGACTCTAGTTTCCTCTGATATACGTGGCTGAGAAAAGAATGACCTCCTTCTGTGATGCAAGATCCTATTATTAACCTGAGATTGCACAGTAATTAATAAAGTGATCAACAATAAATGTGGTGCAGTATTATGTACTGAGGTGTTGCACATAAAGGCACATGTAGAACACCATGCAACCTCCTCAGCAGTTTTGGGTATGGTAATAGTGATCCATTCTCCATAGTATATTTGGCTAACTGTCACTAAAGTGCATATAAAAACAATCATCTGTAAGATGGAAGTATTAAATAAACCAGGTAATGGAGGGAAACCTTTAGCAGAGTTTCAAATGTTCTGATGACTCCCAAATCATCAAACATTTTTCTCTCTTTCAGATGCTGTCAATTTCCAGTGTTCCTCCATTTTATTTAGGAAGAAGAATAAAATTTCAGAATGAAAGTAAAAGATAAAATGAAAAGCAAGGAGGAAGGGGTGAGATGATGTGTTGTTCCAATGAGTTGTTCTGAACAGCATGTAAGTTGCAGAATTCCAAGTTGCAGACTTCAAATTCATTATTGCAGAGAGGAATGTTTGTGTTGGCGCACCAGAATCTAGAAACATCCCTGTGACTAGGGATGGGAAATAAAGGAGTTGCCTGAGGTCTACTGTCACATGTCTCATCGGCTCCATCCTCCTAGATATAGATGGAGTCAAAACAATTATAGGGAGAGGGAAAAATTTACTTGAAACAGATAGGACTTTCTCTCAATTTCACAAAAGAAAAGTGCATTTTTTGAAGGGCCCTCTTTTGACACAGTGGCAGTGTCCTTGGACCAGGAGCCCTGGGGTCAAGTCCTACCTGGTCCAGAGGTGTGTAATAACACCTCTGAACAGGTTGATTAGAAAAATTGGTGAAACATTGAGTTCTAGTTTTTTTTTAATGTTTTGTGCCATTTTTTCAACAAACTTTTGTCAATACAACTTATAAAAATACTACACATAGGTAAGACTAAAGTTGCTGTGATTGACACATAATAACATATCGATTAATGAGGTGGTTCCTTGTTTAAGAATTCTAATCTTGATTACTAATTTACTGGAATGAAAGGTTGCTTAAAAACTCAGTTATTTAATGAAAAATATTAACTGCCACACTAACATATGGCATGTTAGACCACAGTTACATTTAAATGTTTTGGACTCTCAGATATGTATAAGTATAGATACCAATCTGTAATATCCTGCATTGCTTCTAAAGCACTATTTAAAAAGAACAACCCTCAACTCCTGATAGAAGCCCCTTAATGTCAAGCTCCTGATGACCTTTAGCACCCAATCCAATTGTCCTGTCTCCACAAGATGATAGCATCTGAAGGGTTTTTCACTTAGAAAGATATGACAACCTTTCTGAACTTACGCAAACACATAATTTCTAGCATGGACACAGGCAATGTGTCCCCTGTGCTGTACAGATGGGCAGACAGGAATATGTAAGCACAGGGAATAAACAGGCTGCATGCAAGAAACATTCTCTTTAAGATGCAGATCAATTTCAGTGGGACTCTGCAGTGCAACAAGCAGCTGCACACATCAAACAGATGTTAGAGGGAGCACCGGTCATGGATCCAGAACAGTAACCCTGATCGTTTTTTATTTCTCTCACCAAGTGGTACAATCACCAAATCTAATGACCTGATGGCAGTACAACATAATTCTGCTAACGTTGAACAGCACTTCCACTCAGTACAACTCAGCACCACACCAGCATTTCACTAACACACATCATCAGTACAGGAGTTTAAACAGGTTGAGGTCATAAACCAGCTATCAAAATTCCAAAATAATAGTTGGGAGAGATTACGATTAAAAAACCTCTGTTCTACAGAGAAGGGTTTGGAGGGAGTTGAAGGCTTATGACGATCAACACCAAATGTTTAAAGGAGAGCTAAATGGGTTCCTAACTGTAGTTGATATCAGAGTGGAAATCCAGGTGGAGTACCTGGTGTGCCACACAGTAACCATCATCTCCTACAATCTGAAGTCAGAGAGGAAATCTTCCATGTTTAGTTTCCAACTTGACCAAGAGTCTTCATCTCACAACTGGCTGTTACTGGGGATCAAAGTGCCCAATTATTCCATGTCTGTGCAGCACAAATTTGATTCACCAGCCAATATTTGTCCTTCATTTTAATTTTAAAATAAAGTTCTTAAGTGTCGTTCCAGTGTCTTGTTATATAATCTTCTGTCCTGGAGGATAGATAAATACTGTTCCGAGTTTTACATATCTGAATAGGCTAAAATACTGTGATATGATAGCATCACAACCTACCTTTGCAGAGCTATAACATTGAATGGAGTTGCAGCATTAACTGGGAACCTTCTTGTCCCTTACAGCATTTCATTATAAATTATGGAGGCATCAGTGCAAGGGCTGCTTGCTAATGGTCAGTCCAGATCTGTTCTAATTCATGTAATTCTTTGGGACAATCTGCAGACAGAATAGTTGGCCCCTCTTCTGTTATCAAAACGTCATCCTCAATCCGAATTCCCATTCCTCGGAATCTTGATGGAGCTGATGTGTTGTCTTCTGGGATGTAGATTCCTGTTATGGAATGAATGATCCCAAAAGCAAATTTATCAATTGCATACCAAAAGCTTTGAAGTAAAATAGTCACTTACGTGAGCATAAATAGGAGTATATGAAAAGTTGTGAGTTAGCATCCTACATAGCAAATTGCCAATTTCAAAGTGATTTTTGCAAAAGTGTTTTCCTGTCATGAAGGAAAGGGGGAAAGTGAAGCATGTAAGGGAGAGGGAGTATGAGAGAGAAAAAAAAACAGGCAGAAAGTGACCAACTGGTACTTCTTTCATCAGAAACTTTAACTTATAGATCAAGATATTCAAACAATTAGCAGGCAGCGTCCTCAAGCAAAGAGAGAAAAGCTTGGGGAGGGAGGCGACGTGTCAGGGACAGAGTTTCAGAAAGTGCCAAGTGTCACACTGAAAAGCCTCCTTAAGATATAATTGCTTTAAATAGGATGGCAAAGATATCCAGTGGTTTAAAGTAAGGAGGCTGAAGAGGTGGAGGCCCTTGTAGAGTTTAGCAGGGTAACGGGCTTACAATTGACAAACAGCGCTGTTGAAAATGAATGACAGGTAAAGGGTCTGTGACCTTCGGGACTAGTCCAATGGATCTACACTCATGTTTATCTGTGTAGTTTTTATGGGGACTGGGGTGATTAGTATGAACAATGTCTTTAGGTAACCATTGTCATTGTAACCATTGTGTTTTTTAATACTCCTATAGTAATTAGTTCATAGGATGTGACTGATTAGACCAGCACTTGCTGCTTATCCCTAATTGACTTTGAGAAGGTGATACTGAGCCACCTTCTTGAACCATGTGGTGTAGGGATACCTACAGTGCTTTTAGGAACGCTGTTCAGGATTTTGATCCAACAAGTGAAGGAATGGTAATGTAGAAAATGCTGGAGAAACTCTGGCAGCATCTCTACAGGGAGAGGAACAGAGATAACTTTTCAAATCCAAGAGGACTCTTCTTCAGAACTGAAGGGGGCAGGAAAATTACGGATTTTATGCTGTTGACAAAGGGGAGAGGAGCAGTAAGTGGAAATGATGGCGAGGGGACACAGAGCAAAAAGCAATTGGAATGTCATGGTAAGTGTTAAGAGCATGACAGTTGAGAGCTAACCCATGCAAACAAGAAATGGTGGGGTGGGGGGTGGGGATAGTGATGGTGGTGAAGAGAGCAAAAGGGAATGTAATCAACACAGGGTCAGTGTTCATGGTTTGAAGTTGTTGAACTCAGTGTTAAGTCCAGAAGACTGTAAAGTGCTTAAGTGGAAAATGAGGTGCTGTTCCTCCAGCTTGTAGTGAGCTTCACTGGAACAATGCAACATGCCTAGGACAGAAATATTAGCATGAGAGCAAGATGCTGTATTGAAATGGCCAGCATCTGGAAGGTTGGGATCAACCTTATGGACAGAGCTGACGTGTTCTGCAAAGCGGTCACGCAGTCTGCGTTTGATTTTGCCAATGTGGACAAGTCTGTACTTTGAGCAGCAAATGCAATAGTCAAGAGTGAAAGAAGTACAAGAAAATCACTGCGTTGCCTGGAGGTTTGTGTTGGGGCCTTGGACATTGAGGAGGGGAGGAGTAAAAGGACAAATGCTATTGCAATTGCCAGAATATGGTGCCACAGGAGAGTGAAGATGTGCTCAGAGTAAAGGAGGAATGGGCCAGGGTGTGTGAAGGGAATAGTCCTTGCAGAATGCTGCCAAGCAAGAGGGTGTGTTTGGTTGTGGTATTCTGATGGAGGTGGCAGAAATTGTGGAGGATGATCCTTTGAATGGAGAGGCTGGTAAAATGAAAATTAAGGACAAGTTGTTGTTCTGTGAGGAAGGGAATGGGGCAGGGAAGATATGAGGGAAATGGGTCAGACAGGACTAAGGGTCCAGACAACTGGTGGGGAGGAATCCTCAGTTAAAGAAAAAGGAAGACTTGTTGGAAGCACCCCTGTTAAAGACGGCATCGTCAGAACAGATGTGACTGATATATCGGATGTGGAACTAATTACTTCAGGTCACATGAAAACATCAGTGAAGGAGGGAGTAAAATATTTTACTGGTATTATTAGTTAAATTTTGCTGGAGAAATAAAGAGTTCTTATTGGAAGACATCGCTGGAGCTTTGTCACGGGTCCTGCTTGTTGTGGTTCATGGAGATTCTTTAAATGGACCCTGTAGACTGTTTACTGTAGACTTACAAATAGAAAAAAGAGTCTGACAGAGAGACCGACAGACATCTCGACAAATGTGTTTTCTTGCTAGTAAAAGCATCAAGATTGTTACTCAAAGCGAATGGAATATCAGCTATCCATACTGTGGGCTATGATTGTCTGAACATCAGTTCAAATTTAGCTCAAGGCAGAAACTAGTTGTCAGGTGTTCACCCTAATCACTGACTTTGCAGCGTGCAGGACTCAGCTTTCTAAACTTACTTCTAGCCCTGTATTTCTTACCAGGTTCGATCGTCACCACCATCCCAGGTTGGAGGGCTATAGACCGGGAGATGCCTGGCGTGTCGTGGACATCCATTCCCAGATAATGTCCGACGTGGTGTGGGCAGTAATTGACAGCAACCTGCAGGAACAGAACAGAACTCTGCTCAATGACAATGGAGAAATCTCTTTGTCCAATATATGCTGTACTTGTTTTTTTAAAAAATAGAATGTAAAAAGGAGATTTCCTTAGTGGCATAAGATTTTTTTATTTACACAGTGTCTTGCATATGCTCAGGATGTTCTAAAGCACTCAGAGATAATATTTATTTTTAATCCAGAGTAAGATGAATCATAAACATAAGACAGTCCATAATAAATATAATGAATCTAATAAGAAATTGAGGAAGAATATTGTTATCCAGAGAGTGGTGAGAATGGGGAGGCTTGCTATCATGAGGATTAGTTGAGGCACTGGTGCATTTAAGGGGAAGTTTACTAAGTATACAATAAATAAATAAAATGCAAGGCAGAAGGAGAATGACAACTGGATAAGAAGCAGGGTAGGAGGGAACTTGTCTGGGTCATAAACATCGACATTGACCAAATGGGCTGAATGGTCTCTTTCTATGCTGTGAATATGACCTATTTATAAATAGCAAGACCCATAATTGCAAATGAAATTACTGACTTGTTAAAGTGTCTTTATTAGCAGTGGAATAAATGTTGGTCCTGCCCTTCTATAGGTCCCGTCAAACAGGTAAGCAGAACCTTGGTATAATTTCTCATTTGATAGGTGGCACTTTTAAAAGTGCAACTCTCCCTCAGTCTTGTTACATGCTGAAGTCCTAAAATGCAGTATGGTATAGTGAAAGAAAAACGAACAACTTGCATGTATATAGTCTTTTCTTCACAAAATCTGAACGTCTCAATGGGCATTACTACTAATAAATTGTATTTGAAGCCTTGTTCCAGTTGTGATGTAGGAAGCACGAATAGTCAAAAGACATTCAGCAAACTCACATAACAGCAATCATAATGGCCTGATAATCTAATTTTGTGATGTAGATGTAGGCAATGAACAGGACAACACCCCGATCTTCCTTTAAATAGTGCCATGGGATCTTTTACATCCACCAAGATGGCATGTAGGGCCTTAGTTTCACGTTTCATCTGGAAAACAGCACTTCCGACGGTGCAGTATACCCTTATTACTGCAGTGGAGTATCAGCTTTGATTTCGTGCTGAAGTCCCAGAGTGAACCCTCGTGACTTAGTGACGGGAGTGCAACCAATTGAACCATGTCTAATACTGAAATGAAGGTAAGGGACTGAACAGAGCTCCTACTTTGAAACTCAATCTTGCTGACATTTCAGCTTGAGTTTTGCAAGCTTCAAAACATTGACTACATTTCAAAAATATTTTATTAATTGTAAAACACATTGGTACACCTTAAAGTGAAGAAATTTGTTATTTATTTCCACTAGTTGTGCTGGTGGGATTTGAACCAGTGTCCACACATCATTACTCTGGCATCTTTGGACTACTGCATCAGTGACATCACCGCTGTACTACCTTCTCCTCCATGCAAACCCCTTGCATTATAACATATTACAAACTTAACCGTAATTGACTGCTGTGAAGTTAATCTGTAGGCTATAAATGTGCCAGCACTTGGTATTAACCTTGTAAGCATCATGCTGATTAGAGTTCTCCTGCAGGATCCCCATGTCTTTCAGCTTTTGCACGAGCATGGTCAGCATGAAAGTGTAGATATTTTCCAGACTGATACCAGGAGTGCAGAGGCTTAGGCAAGACTTCTGTACATCAAGGACAGCCTGGTACAGCTCAGCTTGGGGTCCTGTGAATCTGCAACAAAACAAATAAGTCTTAGGATTTTCCAACAGGATACGAGCAAGGTTTTACATGTTACACATTTTCACAGGAGACAGGTTAGGTGAATTACATAGGATGTACAGCAGAGAAGCAGGCTATTCATCCTAACTAGTCCATGCCAGTGTTTATGTTCCACATGAACCTTATCCAATCTACTTCAGCCCTTCTCAACATATTCATCCATTGCTTTTTCTCTCATGTGCTTCTACACTATTTGCCATGCTGAGTCCCCCAGTTAACTGCTCCCTTTCACTCATGGTCTATAACAAAATTTCAAATTAATTCTCTTACACATACAGCAGTAAACTAATTACTTTTGAATGGGCTTTTTCAACTTTCAAACTAACTAAAATGAATTTTTGCACAAATAGTTCACTTTTGGAAGTGTTTCTCTTGCTTGTTTCGCATTTCTTGTAACGACATTCCGTTACTGATGACCAAGTTATTAGCTTTCAAGCTGCCATTAGCACCCACTCCTCCACAGCATGCATTGACCTTTAGCAACTTTGATTTCCATTGAACATGAAATCATCATGTGTAATGGCAGCCTTGACTTTTATCCATTTGTCACATGCATCACACTTTCCTTTCCAACACACTGACTCAATTACACCCTCTATAATACCAACTTTTATGCAGTGTGTTTAAATAGGTCTATTTCCAAGGGACAAGCCTACAATTTAAGGTTGATAAAACAAGCTACTGCAGATGCTGGAAATCTGAAATAAAAACAAATTTCCAGAGAATCTCAGCAGGTTTGGCAGCATTTGTGGAGAGAGAAACAGAGTTACTGTTTTGAGTAGAAAATGACTCTTCTTTGGATATGCTTTAAATATTAACTATCAGAGCTTTGCTTAAGGTTAGTTCAAGCAGAGGGCTCTGTAGAAAACAATTAATTACATTTTGTTTTTATACTTTATTAAATTTTTTTTGAGAGACATAATTGAAAAGTAGGAAGATCAAGTTAAACTTGTATAGAACCTCCATTAGACCACATTGCACGTTTTTGGTCTCCAAATTGTTAAAAGGATTTCAGGACACTGAAGAAGGGGCATAAAAGCATTACAAAGAAGCCACCTGCAGAGCTGAGAAGTTATATGCATTGGAAAAACTTAACAAACTGGGGCTCTTTTGCTAAAAAATAAAAGGCTGAGGGAAGATCTGATCTTTTAAAAACGAAGGACTTTGAAATAGTAGATGTAGAGAAGATGTTTCCACTTATCGGGGGAGTACAAAAAAACAGGCCATAAATATAAGACAGCACTAATAAATCCAAAAATGAATTCAGGAGAAATCTATTTTTTCTGAACAATTCTGGTTAGAATGCGGAACCTCAGTAGTTGAGTCATCTTAGGTGCATTAAAAAAGGTAAAGAAGTAGATGGGAGAGGAAGGAACAGAACAGTACTGGTCGAAAGGGTTCAGAAAAGATTTACCAGGATGTTGACAGGAATGGGAGGATTTGAGTTATCAAAATAGACTGGAACTTACCAAAGCATAGGAGGTCGAGGGGTGACTTCAGAGGTTATTAAATCATGAGAGGTATAGATTAGGTGAATGGCAGGTGAGGTTTTCAAGACAAGGGGGCATATTACTAAAGTTGAGAGATTTAGAAAAGACACGAGGGGCAATTTTTCTTTTTAAACAGAGGATGTTTCGAGAATGAAATGAACTTCCAAAGGGAGCAGTGGTTGTGGGTACAGTTAATATGTTTAAGACGTTTGGATAAGTACATGAATAGGAAAGGTTTGGAGGGATGTGGGACTAATTTTAGTTTGGGATTATCTTTGGCATGGACTTGTTGGACCAAAGGGTCTGTTTCCATGCTGTATAACTCGATTCAATATATTTATCAGGTGACAGAAGCACCAACATTGATATGGACCTGTTGGACTAAAATGCATAACCTTGCTGATTAACTGCAGTAGAGAAGTTCCCACTCCTCCCTTGTATACACTCTATAAGGCTAAGGTTAGTTCCACAGACAGGAGCAGTCATTTGTACCTTAGCATTCCTTGTATTTACTCCCACACAATGAACATCCCCTATTCAACAGAACCACGATAAGAATCTGATCCAATCCACCTTGACACATTCCCAGGCTAGGGAAGTCATTGGTTTGGAAATGGGGCAGGGAATCCTAGGTGAGATTCCCTCTCCTTTATCTAGTGTTACTGTGGGTGAGAATGGTTTTACTGCTCTCTAGGCCAAGACTTGGTACTGAACTTTTTTATTTGAACAGCTGGGTCTAAATAAGGTATTGTGGTTGCTAAGTGATTTATTGCAGTGCTGGCAGTTACCTTTTCATCGGTAAACACTGTAAGGGCAATTGGGGCTCATTTGTATAGTTTAGGCAGGAACTAGGGACTCATATTAGATGCAGTTATGAAGGAGCCGGCAGAACACAAACTTCTTCTGAGAAGCACTCCAGAAATACCTATTAAATGAGTGCTCCTGAGAAGTGATTATCTTTGTTACAGGACAATTGTTGAAGTAGATGCACAAATAATGAGATATTGTGACTGTAGTAAAGAATCAGTTACATAAGGACACCTTGTTTTGATGCCACTGAACAGCTGTTTGCCACACCTAGAACAGAGAAGAGTTGCCCTGTTTCCCAGCCAGTTAGGAACATTATGAAGGCAGGGTAAGACATTGGCTAAGGCAATTAATAGCATACAACCAAAGACATGGGAGCAATACCAGGCAGAGTTTAAGAACCTCAGCAGGAAGAATGAACGAATTGTGAACCTTTAAACAAATATTAAAATGTTCTCCAGCCATACTGCAAAAAATCCCATGTTTTCCAGTACTGAGTTAACCAAGCATCAGGTAAAGTCTTACCTTCATAAAGCACCTTTCACAGCCTCAAGATGTTCCTACGCACTTTTACAAACAATTAAAAATGTTATGAAGCGTAGTCATCATTGTAATACATTTAATACAGCAACTAATGTGTTCACAGGCAAGGTTCCACAAACAGCAATCCTCATATTCAAGCGATGTTGGTGGAGGGATTGATATTGCCCAGGAGTGGGGAGAACTCCCTTCTTCCTTTTCTTCAAAATGATGCCATGGGATCACTGACATTCTCCTGAGATGGCAGGCAAGCCCACAGCCTTATACTGTATGTGTATTGATATTGGGTACAGGCATGTTCAGGATTAGCATAAAGGCTCAAATTGCTTGAATGGTCTGTTGCTACTTAGTGTCCAGGGTAACTTGAGAAATTTCCATTTAAGCGGGGTCTAAGTGGCTGGGGTTGAAACATACTCAACATGAGGAAATCCCTTCTCAAAGAGTGGGAAGGAAAATGGTGGACCATATACTAAAATAATGAGTGGTGGAGGGTGGGGTAAATGGGTGGATCAAATCGCTGCGTCTCACCTTCCATTGATGGGCCAAACGCGAGTGACATCACTGACGTAGCCAGAATACTCACAGCCACCATCCAGTAAGACCATCTCCCCATCCTGGGAAAAGAGTGAAGTTAGTGCGTTAATAAAGAGACAAGAGGAGGTCACCAGCTCCTCAAGCTTTCTCTGTCATTCCACTAGACCATAGCTGATCCATATCCTAACCCACCTTGATTCTGTAACCCTAATACCTTGCTCAATAAAAAACAAAATCAGTTTTAAAAGTTTCAACAAACTCTCAGCTTCAACAGGAATTCTGAGAGAGATTTCCAGGTTTCTACTATCCTTTGTATGAAGAAGTGCTTCTTAACATCATTCCTGTCTGGGCCAGTTCTAACTTTAAAGTTAGGTCTCTGTATTGTAGACTAGCCCATCAGCAGAAATAATTCCTCCATAGATCATAGGATTCCCAGAGTGTGGAAGCAGGCCATTTGGCCCATCGAGTCCACATCGACCCTCCAAAGGGCATCCCACCCAGACCCACCACCTACCCTATCCTGTAACCCTGCATTTCCCATGGCTAACCCACCTAGCCTACACATCCATAAGACATAGGAGCAGAAATTAGGCTATTCAGCCCATCGAGTCTGCTCTGCCATTCAATCATGGCTGATAAGTTTCTCAACCCCATTCTCCCGCTTTCTCCCCGTAACACTTGATCCCCTTGACAATCAAGAACCAATCTATCACCATCTTAAGTATATTAAATGACCTGGACTCCACAGCGTTCTGTGGTAGTGAATTCCATAGATTCACCACTCTTTGGCTGAAGAAGTTTCTCCTTATCTCCATTCTAAAAGGTCTTGCCTTTACTCTAAGGCTGTGCCCTTGGGTCCTAGACTCTCCTACCAATGGAAACATCTTCCCAAACTCTACTCTGTCCAGGCCATTCAGTATTATGTAAGTTTCAATTAGATCCCCCCCCTCATCCTTCTAAACTCCATCGAGTACAGACCCAGAGTCCTCAAACGTTCCTCATATGTTAAGTTTTTCATTCCTGGGACCATTCTCGTGAACCTCCTCTGAACCCGCTCCAGGGCCAGTACATCTTTCCTGAGATATGGGGCCCAAAACTGCACACAATACTCCAAATGTGGCCTGACCAGAGCCTTATAGAGCCTCAGAAGTACACCCCTGCTTTTATATTCAAGTCCTCTCAAAATAAATGTCAAAGTTGCATTTGTCTTCCTAACTACTGACTCAACCTCAAGTTTACCTTGAGAGAATCCTGGACTAGAACTCCCAAGTCTCTTTTTGCACCCAAGACATCTGAATTTTCTCGCAATTTAGAAAATAGTGCATGACCTCACACTTTCCCACGTTGTACTCCATCTGCCACTTCTTTGCTCAGTCTCCTAACCTGTCCAAATCCTTCTGCAACCTCCCCACATCCTCAATACTACCTGTCCCTCTACCTATCTTTGTATCGTCCGCAAACCTAGCCAGAATGCTCTCGTTTCTTCATCTAGATCATTAATGTATAAAGTGAAATGTTGTGGTCCCAACACTGACCCTTGTGGAACACTTGTCACCAGCTGCCATCCTGAGAAAGACCCTTTTATCCTCACTCTTTGCTTTCTGCCAGAGAGCCAATCTTCTATTCATGCTAGCACTTTGCCTCTAACACCATGGCTCCTTATCTTACTCAGCAGCCTCCTGTGTGGCACCTAGCCAAAGGCCTTCTTGAAGTCCAGGTAAATAATATCCATTGGCTCTTCTTGGTCTAACCTGCTCGTTCCTTTCTCAAAGAATTCTAACAGATTTGTCAGGCATGACCTCCCCTTAATGAAGCCATGCTGACTTTACCCTATTTTATCATGCACTTCCAAGTATTCAGAAATCTCATCCTTCACAATGGACTCTAAAATCTTACCCACGACCGAGGTTAGGCTAATTGACCTGTCATTTTTAGTCTTTTGTCGTACTCCTTTTTTAAACAGGGGTTTCACGTTAGTGATTTTCCAGTCCTCTGAGACCCTCCCTGACTCTAGTGATCCCTGAAAAATCACCACTAACACCTCCACTATCTCTTCAGCTAGCTCCTTAAGAACTCTGCGGTGTAGTCCATCTGGTCCTGGTGATTTATCCACCTTTAGGCCATTCAGTTTTTCTAGCACCTTCTCCTTGGTGATGGCCACCATACTCAGCTCTGTCCCCTGAATCTCTTGAATTTTTGGGATATTACTCATGTCTTCCACTGTGAAGACTGATGCAAAGTAATTATTCAGTTCATCAGCCATTTCTTTGTTCCCCACTACTATCTCTCCAGCTTCATTTTCCAGTGGTCCAATGTCTACTTTTGCCTCTCTTTTGCCCTTTATATATCTAAAGAAACTCTTACAGTCCTCCTTTATATTACTGGCTGGCTTACCCTCATATTTAATCTTCTCCCTCCTGACTTCTTTTTTTGTTGCCCTCTGTCGGTCTTTGTAAGCTTCCCAATTCTCTGATTTCCCACTGCCCTTCGCCACATTATATGCTTTCTCGTTTGCTGTTATGCTATCCCTGACTTCTCTAGTCAGCCATGGTTGCCTCATTGTCCCTGTACCATGGTTCTTTTTCCTAGGGATAAATTTTTGCTGTGTCCCCTGAATTACTCCTAGAAAATCCTGCCATTGCTGTTCCACTGTCTCGCCTGCTAGGCTCCTCTCCCAGTCAATTCTGCCCAGCTTCTCCCTCATGTCTCTGTAGTTGCCTTTATTCAACTGTAATACTATTACCTCTGATTTTATCTTCTCCCTCTCAAATTGCAGAGTAAATTCAATCATATTATGATCACTGCCTCCTAAGGGTTCCTTTAAGCTCCCTTATCAAGTCTGCCTCAGTGCACAACACTAAATCCAGTACTGCCTGTTCCCTCGTGACCTCCACCACAATCTGCTCCAAAAAGCCATCCTTGGACAGTATGGGCAATTTAGCATGGCCAATCCACCCTAACCTGCACATCTTTGGACTATGGGAGGAAACCGGAGCACCCAGAAGAAACCCACGCAGAGACGGGAAGAATGTGCAAACTCCACACAGACTGTCGCCCGAGAGTAGAATCAAACCCGGGCCCTTGCATGTCTAAGTTTTATCAATAGCTACAATTCCTTTTGGGAAGGTCTTGTGGTGCAGTGAGTAGCATTCCTGTCTCTGAGCCCAAAGTTATGGGTTTGAGTCCCACTAAATGGTTGTGGAAGGTGTGTTCATACTGAGCCAAACAGATTAATTACCAACGTGCACATCCTTCCGACACAAATGGCAAGAGATAAGAGCGGGACAGATCCTTGCTCACCACATGATGCAAAGAACATCAGAGCCTCCACCACCACCATTTGTAGTTCCAGGCTGCAACACACATGTAAAAGTGCATGCTGCTAAAGCACCCACTGCAATTCTTTTAATCATCTTAAACACTTAAATTAGTGCAAGCCTTAAACTCAAGGAAATACAAGACTAGTTTACGCAATTTGTCTTATAATAATAACTTTCATTTATATAGTACTCTTGCAGTAGTTAAGCATCCCAAGGAATGTCATAAAATGTTATCAAACAAACTCTGTTTGAGCCTCATGAAGAGAGTTAGGACAAGTCATCAAAAATTTTGTCAAAGAGGCATCATTTAATGAACGTAATAAGAAAGGGTAAAAGGGTCAAAGAAGTGATGGGCTTGGATTTGGAGGTCCAGTCGAAATGCCTATTTGAATGATCAGAGAAACTCAAAAATTTTCATTTGTTCATGGGAGTTGGGTGTTGCTGCCTCGATTGACATCCATTACCAAAAGAACAGTTAAGATTCAACCACATTGCTCTGGTTCTGCAGCTATGAGTAGGCCAGGCCTGGTAAGGATGGCTGATTTCCTTCTCTAAAGGACATTAGTGAACCATTTGGGTTTTTATGAGAATCAACGATGGTTATGTGGTCTCCACGACGAGAGCTTTCATTCTAGATTTTTGTTAAATTCAAATGTAACCATGTGAAATCATGTTCCCTGAAAATTACCGCGACTAGTTTCTTGATTTACTAGTCCGGTGACATTACCATTATGCCACCATTTTCTCTACATTGAAGAATGGAGTTATACAATAAAGGAGGGAGCCGCAGTCCTGGAACCGACAAAAACTTTACCTTGGGGATATCACCAGAAATTCCTCAATACGTAACCATTGATCATTGGCAGGTGCAAATTAATCCTTCTGCTTCTTCAGCATCAACACTCAAAAGTACAAATGACAGCAAGCGAGTTCTCCTCCAGAAGTAATCAAATTACCCAGGAAAAATTAATCATGGTGACTAAGAAATTTAGAAAGGAACTACTCCTACAATCACAGGCTGCTTCTGCCCAGTAGTGAGCCTGTCAGCAGCAAGCACGGCAAGCAAACAGTCCCCTGTGATTGAAGGAGCAGCAAGAAGGTAAGATGACCACTGAAGTGTTCCCCGGCTGGGAGGGAACATTCCTCTCTGGTGATTGTTGTGTGGTGTCAAGGGCGCTTAGCCTTTGATCTTCGGGTAAGTGTCCTCTAAGGTAATATTTGAGATACACAACAACGCAGAATCGCTGAACAGAAACTGATAGCCAACTTCCATACCAATGAAGACGGCCTCAACTGTGATCTTGCGTTCTTTGTCGTGCTACATGTGACCCCACCATACTGTTCTGTATCTGTGAAATCTTCCTTACTGTCCTGTTTCGTCACCATCACCTAGATAAATTGTTATGATCTCTCCACCTTAATTACTTTGTACAGTTTTGAATTACTTATTACTTTGGTTAGATCCTCAGCATGTGACTCTTATACCTAGCGTGTTATTCCAGTTATTTGGTTTGTCTCCAGTGCCACATTATTTTCAATTTTTTGTAATTATCTCTCTGCTTTATTTAATCGGATTATAGATTATCCCTTCGCTTGTTATTCAGCTGTTGACACTTTATTCACAATGTCTAACACTTTGGATCACCTGCACAGACTTATTATTCGTCACTCCACTCACTCCATTTGCATGGTCTTTTGATCTCTCTGCCCTTAGTCTCTCGCAGCCCATAAATCCTGTATTCTGCGTGCTTGTCTCTCACTTCACCTGACAAAGGGGCTACGCTCTGAAAGCTTGTGATTTCAAACAAACCCATTGGACTATAACCTGGTGTCATGTGACTTCTGACTTTGTCCACCCCAATCCAACACCGGCACCTCCACATCATGGCAAATACAGAAGCTACGTGACTGCTTCTCACCTAATGAAGGAGATAGCGAGAATGAGAAAGCAGCCTCCAAAAATCAAGAAGTAGCCTTTCAGAAATCTCAAGAACAGCCCTTAGGAAAAAGAAAATATTTTAACTGCAGTTCAGCATGTACCTGTGTATAATAAGGAATGACTACGTTCTTACCTTAATCATTTGGTTATTTTTCACATAATGCAGTGTATTGGAGCGATTGCCGCCAGCTACCACTGGAGGGTAGGCCAAGAGGTCCGCCCCACGAGCTCGGCACTCAAAGTCAAACTACAATTGAAAAGTATTATGGAATGGCAGGTTATGAAAGACTGCTCTCTGATATGTTTTATGTATGTTGTACAGAAACCAAACATATTTCAGGATTTTATTCCTGCACTTTCAGTATGACAAGCAGACAACATGCATTTACCTGAAACAAAAGTATAACACTTCATTAAGTATAACTTGGGGGGTCTATCAATGGTAAACCTGCAGTGGAGAGTCAAACACTCCCCTACATATGCGAATGTACACAATATACAATAAAAGGACCATATTTAAAGGCAGTAATCTATCTCCAGGATATTCTCCCCGTGTCTGCGTGGGTTTCCTCCGGGTGCTCCGGTTTCCTCCCACAGTCCAAAGATGCGCAGGCTAAGTGGATTGGCCATGCTAAATTGCCCGTAGTGTTCAGGGATGTGTAGATTAGGTCGGTTATAGGGGGATGGGTCTGGGTGGGATGCTGGAGGTTTGGTGTGGACTTGTTGGACTGAAGGGCCTGTTTCCACACTGTAGGGATTCTATGATTCTACGATTCTACGATATGAGATCATGATCTAGTGCCTTGACTCATAACATCACTGACTTCCAGCTTTTGTATTCTTTGACTACATTAGCCACTTCATTTCCCCCATTGCTATTATCTTGGTGGTTCAGTTTTTATACTCTTTAGCTCTGTTTCAATGTGTGGAAATCAAAGTACAGTACACAGTGTCCTATTTTAACTCTCAACCTTTTCTGACTTAGGAACATAGGAGCAGGAGTAGGCCATTCAGTCCCTCAAGCTTGCATTGCCATTCTAGATCATGGTTGATCATCTACCTCAATGCCATATTCCAGCAGTATCTTTAATGCCATTAATAATGAGAGGTCTATCAATCTTTGTGTTGAATTGACTTACTGACACAGCTTTCCCTGCCCCGAAGGGTGGATAATTCCAAAGATTCACCACTCTCTGAGTAAAGAACTTCCTCCTCACCTCAGTCTTAAATGGCTGTTCTTTTATTCTAAGAGTGAATCTCCTGGTTCTAGACACACAGCCAAGAGGAAACATCCCTTCTTCATATATTCTTTTTATCCCTGTAGGAATTTTCTAAGCTTCGATAAGATCATATTTCACTCTTCTAAACTCCAGAGAAAAAAGACCCATCATCTCAGGAGTCAGTATTGTGAATCTCTGCTGCACTCCCTCTAGGATTTAGCACATTTGCTAAGCCACCCCTACCTATTGTTATATTACTCCATGTAGGCCTGGCTGCATCCACCCATGAAAGTATCCATACTTTGCTGCTTACCTTTGCATAAAGATAGGCCTCATCAACTGGAGCCTTGGTTGAGAACATGGTGCTGATGAATGCCTGAAAATAAACAACCAGCCTTGTATTAGCTCCTTGGCAATCTAAAAACTTTGCACAAAACACAGAGCAACTGCAACACAGCAACAAAACCAGAAGTATCTGTACCAGGACGAGTACGCATAGTTTTGAGACTCATCACGGAGAAACTTTCTCCCAGGCATAAAGGACACCTATTTAGCAATGGGATGACGGTGGGCCAATCCATGCAGTCATAGAGTCAGAGATCGACAGCACAGAAAATGATCCTTTGGCCCATCATGCTGGTCAAAAGCAACCACCTAACTAATCTAATCCCATTTTTCAGCACTTGGCCAATAGCCTTGTATGCTTTGACATTGCAAGTGCATATCTAAATACTTTTTAAATGTTATAAGGGGAGAAACCGTCATTGGTTTCACAGCAATTGGTTCTACTTTGAAGCTGTGTGGTGTATTTTTATGTGTTCCAGACAGATGGCTAAAAGATATGCTCATCCCTTGTATATGTTAACAAGAGGTTCACTGCCTGGTTTAGGGAGTTCTGCCTTTTACTGGGCTGAATGGAGCTGAAACTGGACCTGTACTCAAGATATTCACATCTCCATTCAGCCCGAATGGCGAGACTTTGAGGAGATGTTGAAGGCTACCACCAAAGACAGAAGTTTTTTATAAAAGGTTCTTACTTCTTGGGGTCCCACTGAATCCAGAAGACTATTGTGGATCACAGCATGTCCGCCCCAAACTCCAAGATCTCATCCTGATTGTATTCTCTCCTCTTCAAAGACAGCCGAAGAAAATTCATGCTATTCACCAGTGAGCTACTCAGATACATCCAGCAGGCACTGGTTATTCATTTCATTCATTAATGTCCTTTAGGGAAGGAAATCTGCCATCCTCACCTGGTATAGCCTACATGTGATTCCAGACCCACAGCAATGTGGTTGACTTTTAACTGCCCTCTAGGCATTTGGGAAAGGACAATAAACGATGGCCTAATCAGCGATACCAACATTCTGTGAACAAATTTTTAAAAGTCAAACTTTGATGAGATCTAAGGTTCAGTTTTAATCAGGCTTCAGGCCTACTTGTTCAGCTGCACAGATCTTTTTCTGCATACAGCTCATGCCTGGAATTCTGACTCCATAGGACCTCTTGCCACACCTACGCTTAGAAGTCTGCTGGAGAAATATGTGGAACCCAGTGTCCTTTAGTGGGGTGGGATGAAAACCGAGACTCAAAGCAGTATTGACACTCCCAATCTGCAACAGAACTAACATGCTTGCAACTGCTGTATGCTAACAAGTTAATGTTGCTACGTGAACGGCAGTAGCCCTAACACTGGGTTTCATGTTGGAGAGCTGTTGGAGCAAAAGATTATCTTCTGCCCATTGAGAGGGTGAGCCAGGGAGACCAGGAAGGTTTAAAGCTAGTTAGTTAGTTAGCTGTGATGGCAGTGGGACCATGACAATTGGTCTCAGTTGCCCTGACTTAGGGAAGGGGTTGGTTTTTGAACCCATGCTTCTCTTGATATGCTTTAATAACTTTGAAATTGTACTCAAGTCAAAGTTTGTTGATAACATAAAACAATGAAGTCTTGTGAACTGTAAGCAGGATGGTCATGAACCTCAAGAGGACAAGGAGAAGCTGGTGAATCGGCAGAAAAGTGGCAAATGGAATAACATGCAGAGATGTGAAAAATTAATTTTGTTAGGAAGAACAAGAAGAGCAAATGTAAAATAAAGGATACAATTCCAAAATGGTGCAGGACAGGTGTGTACCTGAGATGTAACCATTCTGCAATCTTATATTTGTGGCACCTAATTTTGGGGCCTCCCCAAATGGAAGGTGGGGGAGCAATTGGAAAAATGGAGTTAAGATCCAAATTGGATAAGCCATTGAATAGTGGAGCAGGACCAAAGGGCCCAATGGCCTTCCCGTACTCCTAAGTCCTACATTTCCATGAAACTATTAAAACTGCAAAAAATGAGATGCATTTTCTCGTCAGCAAAAAAACCCATCCCTGTAACTCACTCCCAATTCCGTTATGATATGACCTACCTCGGAGGTGACCTTTGCAGCCGTTTTCAAGAGTTCGATCTCTGTGTCGGACTTAGTGAGTCGTAGATATTGAACAAGTTTCTGAACTGGTTGGACTGTGTTGTTGCTCTGCATCTTAATAGCTATAAGGGGCTGCATATAGTCTATGTGCAACCTTGGGTGAACAACTGGCTCACTGTCGTACCACACCGTGCACCCTTCATCTATTTGAGAGACAGACAGGAGAGGAACAGGCAATTCTTTATTCAGCGCAGTGCAACAAGTTTCATTTGTATAGAGTCTTTAACATCATGCTTGACGGAAGCATTATAAAACAGAATTTGACACTAAACCTTGCATGTAGATATTTGCATATAAGACAAAAAGCTTCATCAAAGGGATAGGTTTTAATAAAACAATTAAGGTGTTTGTGATCTACAGCATATGGCAGTGCAGCTCATTTCTGTTCTGAGCTGCTGGGTGTGCACCCAAGTTTTCTTGCAATCGTCCCAACTTAATCAAGAACGATCAGCATGGCTATTGAGGAGGGGCATCAGGCCTAACAAATTTGATTGATTGCTTCGAGGTGGTGATTGGGTAGATTGGTGAGGCTGGTGCAGTTGATGCAGTCTGCGTGGACCTCAGTAAGGCTTTTGACAAGGTCTCCCATGGCAGACAGGTTAGGAAGCTGAAAACCCATAGGATCCAGGCCAATATGGCAAATTGGATCCAAAATTCACTTTGTGGCAAGAGGCAGACGGTGATGGTCAAATGGCTTTTCTGTGTCTGGAAGCCTGTGTCCAGTGGTGTAACACAGAATTCAGTGCTGACTCCTGTGCTGTTTGTTGAGCACATTAATGATCTAGACACAAGGATGTATGAGGCTTGATCACCGAATTCATAGACGACATGAAAACTGGTGGTGAGGAAAACAGTGAGGAGGAAAGCCTTAGACTGTAGGACGATATAGTCAGGCTAGTCAGATGGGCTGAATGGTAGCAAATGAAATTTAACCCTGAAAAATGTGTGGTGATGCATTTTGGGAGGACTAATAAGGCAAGGGAGTACATGTTGAATGGTAGGACACTAGGAATTACAGAGGATCAGAGGGACCTTAGTGTGCATGTCTATAGATCCTTGAAGGCAGCAGGACAGGTAGATAAGGTTGTGAAGAAGGCAAATGGGATACTTGCCTTTATGAGTCAAAGCACTGAATACCACAGCAGGGAGGTTATGGTGGAACTGTATATAACATTAGTTAGGCCACAGCTGGAGTATTGTATACAGTTTCGCTTGCCACACAAAAGAAGAGTGTCTCAGAAATGGAAGATCTGAGAGGGTGCAGGCGAGATTCATGAGGGTGTTGCCTGGGCTAAAGTGATTCAGTGGTGAACAGAAACTAGATAAGCTGGATTGTTTTCCTTACAGTAGAAAAGGCTGAGGGAGGGCTTCTGATTGACAGGGTAGATGCATAGACAGGTAGATGGGGAGAAACCTTTCCCCTTAGTACAGGGGGCACAGTTTTCAGTTAAGAAGCAGTTGGTTCCGAGGGGATTTGAGGAAAAATACTTCACTCAGAGGGAGTGAATATCAGGAACTCATCGCATGAAAGGGTAGTACAGGCAGGAACTCTAAAGACATTTAAGAACTGTTTAGATGAACACTTGAAATGCCATAGGGTACATAGCTATGGGCCAAGTGCTGGAAAATGGGATTTTAAAAAATGGATGTCTGATTAACAGGGTGGGCCTCTTTTTGTGCTATACACAACCTGACTCTAACTTGATCCTATCAAATGGAGATCGCAACGTGTGGTCATTAGCATTGCTGCAGGAGAAACAGCATGTCTCAACTTCCCAATCGGTTGTACATGGGGTTAGAGGTGGAGCAGAATCATATAGCATTGAAGAAAGCCATTCAGAACATCGTGCTGTGTCAGCTCATTGTAAGATCAATGCAACAATTCCTGCACCCTGTTTCTTTCTCCATAACCTGACAAATCTTTCTCCATCAAGTATTTATCCAACTTCCTTATGAAAGTTAAGACAGAATCTACTTTCAACAGCCTTTCAGTTAACACACTACAAAAGTGTTGCATATTCTCCATGAATTTTTTGTCTGTTTTTGAATCTGTGTGCTCCAGTTATTGAACGCCCTTTGCTAGTTGAAACAGTTTCTCCTTATCTACTCAATCAAAAGTCCCCTCTCACTTCAAACACCACGATCAAATCTTCTTCAATCTTTGTGTCCTCAGAATCTTTAGTCCCTCCGTATTCTGGTAAAAAAAAAACCTCAAGCGTGGTACTGTTGTCATAAATCTCTTCTGCAAACTCTTCATGATTTCACACTCTTCATGAAGTAGTGTGCCCAGAAACAAACACAATACTCCAGCTCAGATCTAACCAGGGATTTATTGCATTCATACGCGATGCCGCTACTCTTAAAGCCAATCACATCTGAAGTATTTGTTTTCTGGGGTTGAAAGTTCAGGTCTAGTCGTGTCCACATAGACATATTGTTTAGCCATGTTACGGTCTGTTCTCCACCATTACTGAGAGAAGACAGCAGTAAGGTAATCAATGGTTCACACTGCTTTTACATTAAGAAGGGATAAACAATGCATGAAGAGGGAAAAGAGAGTGAACCCTTTATCATCTTGACCTGTCATCTTCACCAGGTGGATATACGTCTGTTCCTGCAGTCCACTGAATTTGTACCATTTAATTCATATTTTGCTTTTCCTCATTTTTCCTTCCAAAATGCATCAATTCACTTCCCCATTATATTTCATCAGCTAATGACCTGTCCATTTCAGCAGATTCACTCCCTTAAGTCTGCTACCTTCCTCCTCGCCATGTATTACACTCCTAACAGGTGCCAACAAAAACCTGGCAAAAATGACCTCCTCCCCACTCAAATTAAGATCATTATAGCAAAAAAAGGAGCATGAAAACCTTACAGACAATCTTGTATACTTTCATCTGATTTGGAAAACAATGCCCCACTACTCTCTGTTTTTCACCTTGCTGTACACTTGGTGTTACTGCCCCTTTAATTTCATGGGCTTCAGTTATACGAACAAATCTGTTGTGTGGTATCCTATTCAATGCCTACTGAAAATCCACATTCACATGGACAGCACTATGTTTATCAATCCTCTCCATTGTTTCATGAAAAGACTTAATCAAGTTTAGTCAGTGACAACTGGCCTTTAATGAGTCTGTGAAATCTGTCATTTATTAATCCACATTCTTTAAAATGACAGGGAGTTTTGCCTCATTATCTCTAGAAATGCCCTCAGCACAGATGCTAGTGGCTGATTTGCCAATATATTATCTTTCTTCCTTTTATTTTAACACAAGAAAAATGAGTTTGAAAAACTGGAAAAATAAATGTGTGAAAAAGTTAATGCTGACATAAATGATGTCCACTATGACTAAAATATTCTTGAGGCTTGCTGATTTGTCATCAGCATTGCCCTAGAACATTACGGACCAGCCTGACCTCCAGTACCATGTGGCCAAACACAACTGACTCAGGTACAGTCTTCACTCATCTTCTTCTGGGGTCACTGCAGCTCAAGGAAACCCCAATAATCTTCCAGATGTTATAAATCCTTGCAGATGAACAATTCGCACCATACTGAACGTTGACACCACCCCTTGTGTTCAGGAACTAACCCTATTTCCTGCTGAGCAGCCAAAGACACAGCCAGCTCCCTCCCTGACCCTTTATGTATACGTCAACAACACTGCACTATGTCATTTATGGGCATCCATGTCTCATTCCATGGGGCTGAGACTGAATCCAAAGTAAGTGTTACCTATTGGCACTACTTACCATACCTCTCCTTAGCACAGAATAGATGTATTCCTTCCAGTATACTGCAGGGCTGGTCAACCACGCTAACTTGTGGTGGCTGGCAGTATCAAGGGCACCTGTTTGCTTTGAGATAAGTGCACATGGCACCTGACTATTGTCACAACAGCATTTCCAGTCTTTTATAAGTTGTTCAAGGCTAAAAAACTGTCCTTGGTGTACTTCCATTGTAAAAATGCTGATTCCTCAGCATGTTTCTTCTGAGTTTATGTTACAATTTCCATTGTTACAACATCATTATGCACTGCTGTGCTGTTCTCCCCTTTTTGCAACACAGCTTACAGAAGTGGGTCAGGAGGGGTTTTGTGGGGAGAATTGGGGAAGGCTATTTGGGGGCCACACAGAGAAGGAGACAGACTCGCTAGGGATAGGAGTGAGGCTGCACTGGGGATTGGGATGGGAAAGAACTGCTGTAGATCAGGGAAAATCTCGCTGGAGATTGGCGAGAGAAGGACTCACTGGGGCTTGGGGACGGAAAAACTCACTGACTAGATGACTCTGACTGATTTTCTGCATTACCTCTCAGGTTCCTTGCAATTGGCAGTTAGGCCTTCATGATTATGAGATGTATTAAGTACAGGCTTTGCAACACTTCCCACCATCTCGTACACAGTGGCCATACCCAGCCCTCAGAGCACTTATACCTCAATGCCAGGAAACTCCACCTAAGCCAAGAAGAATGGGTTAAGGGGAATATTAGGCAATGCTGGGGTTGAGAACAAGCAGCTTAAAGATTACATCTTGTGCACTTTCAATAAAACTGTAACTCTTGGAGACATCTGGAATCTGAAGGCACACCGAGGGAGCAGTGAGGATGGAGGCATAGTGAGGGAGCAGTGAGGATACAGGCACACCGAGGGAGCAGTGAGGATACAGGCAGGGACATAGCAGGAGCAGTGAGGGTACAGGCAGGCACACCGAGGGAGCAGTGAGGATAAGGCAGGCACACCGAGGGAGCTGTGAGGAATCAGGCAGGGACACAGCAGGAGCAGTGAGGATACAGGCAGGTGCATCAGGAGAGCAGTGAGGATACAGGCGCCACACCGAGGGAGCAGCGAGGATACAGGCAGGCACACCGAGGGAGCAGCGTGGATACAGGCGCCACACCTAGGGAGCAGCGTGGATACAGGCGCCACACCGAGGGAGCAGCGTGGAT